AGGGCAAATCGAGGGGTATATATGTATCATATGCCGAGTATTTTATTCCCATCTTGCAAATTAAGATTGGGGATCTTGTCCAACAAGTCAGCGGCCGTTCTAGACACAGATGAATGCTTTGTTTTCGGTCGCATCATTATCTGCAATAATTCGAAGCGAGGTTTAACCCTCGCCGGCCGAGAAGAATCACCGAGGGTGCCGCCACCATGTATTTTTTTTTTTTTGCGGTAGCTCAAAGCACACTGATGATAGAAGGCTGACATTTCATATGCCTTACATTTGATTCAAGCCGGATCATTTGAAATCAACCACGTTTTCATGTCAGGTCACTTAACTATGACGTCTTAAGTAAACCTCTGCAGACTGCACGGTTGTCTGTTATAAAATGATGCAAATCCGTAATGCACTTAGTGTCATATAAGCATAATGGGAAAATATGGAAACTGTTAATTTGGCGTCGGAAATGAGCTAAAACTATACCTCACGCACATGAAATCGTGACTTCATACATTCTTGGCAAGGTTTAATGCTTCACTTTTGCATTGTTCACCTTGCGTGACGGAGTGCTCGTCAATAGGAGTGCTCGTCAATAACTCCCGATCAAAATGAGCTAGCCAGTCGGGACAGCCATCAATGGACTCTGCAAGACTGGTCGAATCAAATGTTATGCAGCATGTCCTCCTTTCAACAGCTTCGTGACCTGTGTTGCCCTAACATGACATTGACCTAAACATTCTAAATTGCTTCACCTAAGCAAAAAAGCATATAAATCGACGCGTCTGAGAAAAGAAAACACGATTGTATCGAAATGACGACAATGCGACCTTTTTTGCGAAGTTATTCACCAAAAACCGATCCAATGCCTTGGGGCCCTTGACCTGCCCTAAGAGGTCACTGATATTTTAAAATGGGGTGACAGTCGCTGCGTCACGTAACGACGCAAGCGCTCGTTTTTTTTTCCGCGAGGCTCTAGCAATTAGCTCAATATAGGAGCTAAACATGGGGTTGGGGAATCACTCCCTTCTCACTCACTATTTGGCCGGGATAGTGTTTGCAATTGCTGTTAAAATCTAACATTTTAAGATTTCAAATTATCCATTTTTCCCGCCCAAGTCTTTCAATTCAAGGTCATAACACCAGGTCACGTCAAGTGACCTTACCTCAAGGAAAGTTCCTGTGCTCATCATATCTAAATACATCGACTAACCGATCGCTTTAGAACCTTCAGCGATTTCAATGGGCAACAGTATATGTATTTGAAACGTTTACTTTGCAAGTTTGACATTGCTGACAGAAAGGTCGGGTCAATTTTGAGATCGCTAAAGTCAATGGGAGAAAGTTGAACTGCGCTTTTTTTAGACGGAACGCATAATAAACACTGAAACATGTGGTGCCTGATGAGATACAATACTGAATGAGAAAATTGTTTTGTTGGGAGCCATCTTTTTCGGTCTGAGAAGGCCCTTACAGAGCTATGACATAACTATGCTCTGGTGTAGTAATTTGGTTGTGCGACCCAGCGACAGTGATCTGCGGACTCCGGAAGCGTGACTGTTCCCGTGGGACGATTGCCCTGTCGGGCGGTCCAGCCGTCTCCCCAACGGTCACCCGAAGAGGGTTATGTGTCTTGGAATGGAACCGACATCAACTACAGGTTGGCTGGTGGGGTGACCTCCAGTCCAGAGAGGGAAGCATGAAGACTAGGGGCGATGCGGATTGGTTTTTCCTGAGGATAGCGAGGACGGAAGGAATCTAGCACCCTTGACCCTTCCTTATACTGAATGTATCTCAGGCTGTTAAATCTCCTAAGCGTTTTTTTTTCTCGACATCGTCAAGGTGTCATAAATAAAAATAAGAAATCCGGGAGGATAAATTAAATATAGAAATTGTGGCCAACAGAACATTATCCGTTGCGTTCAACATACTCGTAAGCATGATCACACACCCAGCTTACACATGAGCCATGTAATGAATATTTTTGATAGGCATGCCTAAGTTATGAAATCATCTAAAGTGTTTGTAAAGTTTCACGATACGGATCTAATATCCTGCTATCCATCATGACCATTTCTGGTCAGGTCATGTCTTTGAACATAGGCCAACTTCTTCAAATGACATCCCTCGCCGGCAAAGGGAGGGAGGGTTGATGCAACCCCCCCCCCCCTAAGGTTTTTCGCGAATAACTCGCGTAAAAAGCGGCCGATCGCGACAAAACTTTCAGTACCCTCGCATTGATAAATTTTACACCTACCCTGAAAATTTCATGACCCTGACCCAAATGACCTTTGGCCATCTGAATCACCTGAAGGTCAGGTCAGGTCATTGACCTTTGGTGACCTCGGTTCACTTTTTCGAGTTTTACATGTTTCTACGCCAGTTTTTGGAGCTGAATTCGAATTTAGCAACCATTTGAACATTTACGAAGTAGTTTTGGTGCCTTCGTAACATGTTACGAAGCTGGCAGAGGCGGATGACAGGTATTACGAATACCCGTCGTGACCCCTACCGGTTGACCTGACCTGACCTGACCCGACCTGGTCTTAATGCTTAAAGACATCATCTCTGATCAAAACTAGCACGATATTCGTGATCAGCACCCCGGAAAACCCCCTAACAGCCACACTTTGCGACTTTCTAACAGGTCCCCATTTTCCCGATTTTTGGGTCATTGACCTGACCTGGAAGTTTGGAAGGTCACCCGAAGACCTAGGACCTTAAAATTGGGTATCATCGGCTTCCTCTCGTGACGGGCAACACGCTCGTTTTTCCGCGAAGCTCTAGCTCAATCAGGGGCCAAGCGCGAGGGGGGTCGTGCCACCCCCCCCCCCCCTGTGCCGTCGAAGGATGCAAAATAGCCTGTGCCGGCGAGGGTTAAAGATCAACTTTCGATTCATTCGAAGCGTTTTGATAAGAGGAACACGAGACTGGTAAAATTAATTTCATGCAAGTTTAGCTTAAAACTTTTAGTGTTTGTGGAAAAGCAATTGGTTTTCTCATAATACCGATGGTGGCAGTTGCTGTTATTTACGCGCTAAGCCGTTGACCTTGATTAAATCTGTCTGAATATTATTCAGACATAGCGGTAAACGAGCTGCTTGTTGTGTTAGGTAATAGGTTAGGCTCTTTCGGTCGATTTCAGAGTGGGAAGGATGACAGGAATTAGGGGGAGACAGGGGGCCTGGGGGGAGTCCTGAGCCTCATGCTCCGCTGGGGCCGAGCCCATCACGTGGGTTGGATTGCTCTGACACATGGATAGCCCTGGGCGGTGTTTCACGGTCCCGCGCTGCAGCACGCTGCGCTGCGCTGCCATGCATTGTAGCGGCGGTTAATATGAATTCGGCTCCACGCTAGTGTTACGAGCTTCCGAGTCTGTTGATGTTTCCATGGAAATTGGAAACCCAATGCACCGGTGCGCACAACGCACCCTGTCCAAGCAAAATTTTACTATCGAAGACCTCTGGTGACATGACCTTTTGCTCTGAACCGATCTAAAATTGGCTGAAGTATTTTTCTTCTTTTTGCTGCTTTCGACGCTACTTCGAATACCACTTAAATGCCCAAATTAGAAGAGTCAGACATTTTGTTTTTCTCACAGACAATGACAATACAAAAACAATGTAATAAGACCAGACCTTTCGACAACAAAGTGCCTTCGTCAGTGGAAAACAAGATTTAGGCTTTACATCGTTAAAAAATATAGATTTTTTATATTTTTTATCTTCTATATTTTTATCGATGTAAAGCCTATATCTTGTTTTCCACTGACGAAGGCACTTTGTTGTCGAAACGTCTGGTCTTATTACATTGTTTTTGTATTGTCATTGTCTGTGAGAAAAACTAAATGCCCAAAGCTGAGTTATAAGAATGATGCTCAATCCCCATTTCCCCTTCAACAGGGCGTGAGAGTCTAGGCATTCCTGTGGGGCACGGGCTAACAATGACTATCTCATAATCATTGTGGCCATGAACATCTACTGCCATTCTTTAACACCGGTTTCGCTGCGCTGAGCGGTGGCCGTCTCGTTTGTTGGATTCTACAGCTGGCTGGCGGAAAGCGTTACCGGCCGCCCGTCCACCGCCCGCGGGCCGGACCGAGCGGTCCCGCTGACCCTACCTGACCTGAGCCTGGCGCGATATGGGACGGGCAGACGGGGGTTCGGCTCAGCGAAGGCAGCGCCCACTGGTGCTGGGGACTTTTTTAATAGACCTACTGTACAGGGACCCGCAGTTGCTACTGTACAGCGACCCTGAGTAAATTGTCCCAGTACCCTCACAGGGAACAACGATAAGCTGTCAGAGGGTACTCACAGGAAACCTCAGCTGCTCTTGTACAGGGACCAGCAGTCGATATCAATGTTATCGGTTGTTATTGGACAGGATAGACGGTTAGACTTGGGGTTCGTGTACAGTAGCAACTGCGGGTCCCCGTACGTAGTGCTCATAAAAGCGTGGCGGCGCCGCTGCCTGTAGCCTTGACAAAAAATTTCGTGTCACCGAAACTTTGAAGCGGAATAGCATGTGCCACGAAGCACTGAGCGAACCGAGGCCAGTACCAAAAGTTTACCTCGCCGGAGACGAGTCGAACGGTCCCACTTTCGTCCCGATCGGTCCACCCATTTTGACTCCAGGTCCAAAAAGGCTTGGACAAACTCACATACTCACTCACATACTCACTCACATACTGACAAACAGGCTTGGCCGAACTTTTCTTCAGCGACCCACCAATGGGAATTTCCGGATGCAAAAGCATGCTATCGCATGCTTTTGATCCTCCAATTCTGGATTACAAAGGGATTGCCATGGCATGCCACGCTTTTGACTCGACACAGTCGGGATTCTTGGCCCGTCGACGACGGCTAAAAACTGGGGGGGGGGAGGGGTGGATGGTATGTCGTCTCTAAATGAGACGGTTGCGCCTAAAGCCTCAGCCCCGCTGTTCTGGTGGCCCGATGTGTTCGCTCGGCAGCGATCCGTGTTTGACGCTGTTACTGTTGTTCCAGGGACCGTTCGTTCGGCAGTCGCAAGGATGCTGCGGTAAGTGAATTTAATACGGTGACTCCGTCTTTCGAATGAATATTGCGTATCCTATCAACTCGTTTCTCTTGATCTTGAAATATTATAACATTTGGCATGACGGGATTATTCAGCTTTTAATATGGACTGCTTGAACCCCTGCCTATCTGAGATCGCTCCGTGAAAAACTCTACATAGCTCTGACGTGATTGCAAACTTTTCTGTGGTGGGGTCAACAGACCCGCTCCGGTGACCTGGCCTGACGACCCTGCATTTTTTTTTTGCCGAAATGTGCGCAATGAATATTTAGGAAAAGTCAACAAGTATGAGCGTAATATCTTGCCGTGTTTGGCAATGGCACAAGAAAACCTGAGGGGGGGGGGGGGGGGGCGAAAAGGACCCTACGCCCGATATAGGGTTAAAGAAGTTTATACAACCAGCTTAGTAATCATTAATATGTCCACTAACGTATAGCTGGGACCGTTATCAGAGTAGGCATTGTAGTTATTCCCCTAAATAATGAAGAGCACTTAGGTCCGTCCAATCACCCATGTATGGTCATGCTGACACTGCCCACATAAATAGATAAATGGTACGCTGGAAAGAAACAGCCTAGTATGTCATAGAAAGCAAGTGTTTTTTTTTTTCTAAATAAATATGTATAATGATGATAGGATTTGGCAAGCTAAAGCCTAGTAAGTAGCATATTTTCACATACCATGTTCTTCAGTGACAAATAACCAAAGTCGATGGAGTTACTAGGTTTTCTCTGGTGAATATCTCAGTTTTGAGCCAAGGTACGTCAATTATGATGGCACCAATCGATGCGGCGTAATAGGAAACCATAGGTCCAATGTCTAACTCAATTTTGTTGATTTTGGCGGTTACTAGGTTTTTGGAAAACACGGGAGCGGCGCGCACCTGGTGACCAAGTGTCCGCACTGCCACGCCCGCTGCGCCACGTTCGCCGACTTCCGTAAGCACCAGCTGGGCCGCGAGCACATGGCCGCCATGCGCCGGCTGCTGATGAAGGTGCGCGCCGAGCTCGGCAAGATGCGGCTGGCGCAGCGCGAGGAGCAGAAGAAACTCGAGGCGGCCGAGATCGAAAAGGACCCCGAGTTTGAGAACCAGCAGACCCAGTTCTGCACCCTCTGCCGGCTCCAGTACAGGGTAAGGGCGCCGGCGGCCTAAACTGAGTGGCAGACTCAATTCTGCACACTCTGCCGGCACTGGCGGATCCAGGCTTGCGTTTTGGGGGGGGGCCAACTCATGCTGGAGCCAAACCTAGGGTACCCCCAAATCCTGTTTTCTCATCGGATTTAGGCCACTTATTTTTCGTCACAGCCCCGACACTATGATTTTTTTTTTTTTAACTAGAAAGAAAAATATATAAATGGTAGCCCACCCGACCCATGCCTTTATATTACTTTGTAAGCACTTACCATTGCTTTTGTCGACCAGTTAACCCGCTTCGAGTCAGTGCTTGGGTCCCTTTGCGGGCCGGGAGGTGGTAAAACACCCCCTGTCTAACTCGGCTCCTAGGCCACGCACTGATTGAACTATGTTTCATTATCGTTTGGGGGAGGGGGCAAACGGGCCACTTTAGACCTCTGGGAAGGTGGCATGGCCCTAAATGCCCCCTCCCTGGATCCGCCACTGTAAGAGACCATTGGAGCTGCAGTTGGGTACCTCAGACGTCAGGGTACGCCCTCAGATGTATAGGACTCGCATGGAGACCTCTTATGCTATAGTGGACTGAAAGGACCCAAAGGAGCCTGTCAAGGGCTCCCGGAGATAGACGTGGGCCCTCAGGAGCCCGCCAGAGCCCCCAATAAGGGATAAGTGAGGCATACCAAGTGCCTACAATTGCATATTGCATAAGCCATAACGCCTTTACAAATCAATATATTATGTATCAGTGGCAGATCCAAGGGGGGCCACATGGGTCATGACCCCCCTTGGTGCCCGGGGGCACCACAGGCGTGTCAGGGGCACCACCGGCCTAGCAGGGGCACCACCAGCCCGCCAGGGGCACCACAGGCCTAGCAAGTAGCAAGGGCACCACGGGCCTGTGAGGGGCCCCACAGGCTTGTCAGGGGCACCCCAGGTCTGTCAGGGACACCAGAGACCTGCCAGGGGCGCCGCCGGCCTCGCAGGGGCACCATGGGCCTGTCAAAGGGGCACCAGAGACCTAGTAGGGATACCACAGGCCTTACAGGGGCACCACCGGCCTTACAGGGGCACCTTGGGCCTGTTAGGGGCATCACAGTCCTGTCAGGGCCCAGGGGCACCAGCGGCCTAGCAGGGGCACCACAGGCCTGCCAGGGGTACCACCGGTCTAGCAGGGGCACCACCGGCCTCGCAGGGGCACCATGGGCTTGTCAGGGGCCCCACCGGCCTCGCAGGGGCACCACCGGCCTCGCAGGCATCACGGCATCACGCAGGTCGCAGGGGCACCTTGGGCCTGTCGGGGGCATCACGGGCCTGTTGGGGGCACTTACGGCTTGTCAGGGGCACCACAGTCCTGTCAGGTCCCAGGGGCATCAGCAGCCTAGCAGGGGCACCCTAGGCCTGCCAGGGTCCAGGGGCACCACAGGCCTAGCAAGGGCACCACGGGCCTGTCAGGGGCACCTCAGGCTCCCGTGCTACCCCCCCCCCCCCCCGGATCCGCCAGTGATGCCACACCACGCGAAACACCGCCAACTACCAGCTGCCGCGCCATAAACACGTGCCAACAACAGTCTTTTTTTGAAGGTCGACTCCGCTCGCGCAACTTTTGACTGATCCTCACTGCTACCATATTGCTTCCATATTATGCTGTGGAAACTTTACTTCACCAAGTGGCTAAAAACCTCCATCAAGGTATATTTTCTTAGAAATTTTTCTGACGTTTTGGGGGGGGGGCCAAACAGGCCACTTTAGGCCTTTGGGGGGGGCCATGGCCCCCGTGGCCCCCCCCCTGGATCCGCCAGTGTCTGCCGGCTCCAGTACAGGGTAAGGGCGCCGGAGGCCTACTGCCGAGATGGTCAGGGGAGAGCTGGGATTCGGAGATTATTGGGATGGGTAGGAGGCTGATTTGAAGACGCTTAACCCGCGCCCCGTAGGGCTATCGGAGGACCCTACCACCCGTAGGGGGGGGGGCGTTTCGGCCCCCCCCCCATATCTTGGAAATTTGCCGGCCGATTTTCAAAATTCAAACGGCGTTCGATAGCCCCACCGGGGAACTACCTATCATTTTTGAACAGTTTTTTTTTTCACTATAACTTGGCCAAAAAAAAAGAGATCGATCTGAAATTCGGTATGTACAGGGTCTTTCATAATGAATGTTATTTTTAAAACGCGAAGTTGAAGATGTTCGTAAATAATCAAAGCATAAATTTTGTATCTACTTTATTGCAAATTTCTTGGAGTTTCTGTTGATGTAATTACAGCTGCCACACTTCACCAAACTTCACTTTTGTGCGGACATGAAATGCCTCCCTTAAAACACGGGTCAGCTCTTTTTTCACGTAGACGTTTAAAGGTGGTCGTGGGAAACGGCTCACTGAAGCGCACGACTGTCCACCGTAAGATTCGGGGACACTTTTAAAAGAAGCACAATGTCCGCTCCAAAATGATCACAGGCTTGTGAACAGATTCCAGAATGTCACGGTTGACTGCAAGGAACAAAACGCACGAAAGGTCATGTTTTGGGCTGCCGTGGTCGACGGGCGTTTCTTCGTCCACTGGTTCGCTTCTGGCTTATCAGTGACCGGGCCAGCTTATCTGAGGCTGCTCAGTGCTCAAGAAAGAATTCTGGCCTTATGTGCCTGGCGGGGTTCAAAGACAAGGCCGCTGGATTCAGCAGGACGGCGCTGAAGTGAGACAACGGCGGCTGGGCGCCAGTGGTTGGATGGCAACTTTGACAGACGAGTGATCTCTGATCAGCCGTCTCACTGAGCGGCCATGGCCAGCTTGGAGCCCTGATCTCTCGCCGATGGACTTCTGATTTTGGGCAGTCGTCTTGGAGGCCCCAAGCAGAGGCCCTTCCAGTGACGCTCATAGAGCTACAGGTCACAGTGGAGAGGTTTGCTGCAATGCTGTGCGCGGAGGATGTGAAGCGCGTGGTGCACTATTTGCGTCAGCGGGCCGAAATATGTGTCCGAAAGCGAGGCGACACAGTCAAAAATCGATGAAGGGTACCTAAAAGCGAGTCATGTGTACATAATTTCTTATGAATTGTAATTTCATTCGGGTATTGATAATAACTTTGTGATGTATACATATCACCTGAGCTATGGCTATTTGAAAAATAACATTCATTATGAAAGACCCTGTAGATAGAAGACGGTAGGTACTATCACATATGTTCCGTTTTTTCGAAACTAAAAAAAACTTATTGGATTTTTTGGCTAATATATCTTTAAAAAATCCTTTTTTGACTTTTGGGAGTCAAAACTCAAAAAATTTAAAAATCCAAGATAGCAGTTTTGTAGCCCTGTCAATTCTACACCTTTTATGTCTTTATCATTTTTCTGTATCTTCAAAGCTGTAGGCCTGACAGCTTTTCTCGCGAAGGTCTTTTTTCGATCGAAAATGGCGGAACATGGCGTCATTCTGACGTCATTTGTGGCCAACCTATCATAGCCTCTGGAAAAATGTTTGGTAACAATGTGTAAAATTGATGCCCGGAGGGGTCCTGAATGTTTGGTGGCGACATCTCCAGCCGTTTAAAAGATATCGACGGAAAAGGACAGGGGGGGGGGGGCGTTTCGCCCCCCTACGGGGTGGCGGGTTAGTTCCTCATTTGCTATTATTTTACAGGAGAGGTGAAGGGCTTGGATACTGTTTTTATAGAATGCACTAGCTGAATGCGCATGATTACCTATTTGTTAGCATTTTGTAATGAACTTTTTTCCATTTGAACATTTTATAGCTCGCAAAGTTATCTAATGAGTAGAGACCGCCTGATTCGTCACACGTTACGCTTTTACTGCATCGTTCATTTTCTTGTATGTCTTATCGTCGCTGCATTGTTGGCACCTGACCGCTCTGACCGACCGCCCGCGCCGCTGTCCGCTCTTCAGGAGATCGAGGGCGTGATCCACAGCGAGACCGAGTGGCACCGCAAGCAGCACACCTACTCGAACCCCTCGTGCAAGACGTGCAACATGAACTTCCCGGCGCGGATCGCCTACGAGAAACACCTGGGCACCTTCACCCACATCCAGAAAACGGTACGAGAATGTTCAGCGGCTGCTCTTGGATAAAGAATGCAGGAAAAGGCAGCGGTTTAACGTTTCACGGAAGCGGAAAAAGCGGGACCTGTGGTGGGCTTGGCGACAACGCTGCGGTGCTTATTGTTGTGTTTAGATGTGTTTTGGATTTTGAATATTTGCTATTGAAAACCCCCAATATCCTATATAAGCCTTATTTTAGGACATTGAGTGCATCTGGACGAGAAACCATCATCCACTTCTGGGAAGAGGAACTTTGAGGCTTGTTTCGCCGCGTTTCTTCACTGAGCTGGATCCAATGCCCCCAGGCAGTGTCCCCATCCCATCTAACCAGTCCGTCCGATTCCAGAACCAGTCTGAGCGCCGCGCCGAGCGCCGCGACGCGGCCGAGTTCCAGAAGGGCGGCTTCATGACGCTGGACTCTGTGGGCGATGTGGACGAGGAGGAGAACGCGCGCGGCCGGAACGCGTCCGCGCAGGACGACTCTGGCGAGCCCAAGACGAGCGCCACAGAGATGCTGGCCGAGCTCGGCGAGTACGACGGAAAGCACGCCGTCGGTAGGTGAACCCGGGCGGGCGGGATACCGTCAGCTACTGTGAGGCGGGGTACTGGGAAAGTGGGGTGGGAGAACACACTCTGTAGGGCTCAACAGTTCGGTCTGAATTTCATTTATCCTGGTTACTGATCGTATGAAGCGTGAGAATCGATACGGTTAAAGATATTATTTCTGTGATGACAAAGTCTGGCTACTTGAGGTGTTATTATACACCGCTACTGCGCATAGTCACATGTTTATCGTTTCAAGTCACTTGCCACTTCTTAATTATTATTGTCGTATCCGTGACTTGGCTGCATGTATTGGTATCCAGCATGAAAAGACGATGGGTTTAGTGAAAAAAGTATTAAGCATTGCTAGTCGTGGCTTTGGTTGGATTAACCCGCGCTCCGCGGGGGGGGGGCAGAATCTGCCCCCTCCCGTTTTTCGCCAATAAATTATAAACGCGTTACGCCAGCGACGTCAAACTTTCAGTACCTTATCATGCATCAATTTTACACGTTCCCTGACAATTTGAGCGAAATCCGTCGGATTTTTTTTTTTTTTGAGAAAATGACGTTTTAGTGACGTTATGTTCGCCATTTTCGCTTCAAAAACGGCAAAATTTGAAACGCCGCTAACATCCTCATTTTAAAGGGAATAAAAAAAGGTTATCCGGGGTTTTACTTTGTCTATCAAATGGCTATCTTGTTTTTGAAAATTGTGGATTTTGGCCTAAGTTTAAAAAAACTGACTTTTTGGAAAAATAATTATCAAATCCAAAAATTTGAGTATCGAAAAAAAAACGGAATATATGTCAGAGAAATGGTCTGTGTGACCTACATACCAATTTTCAGAAGAATCGGTTAAAAAATGTGAGAGTTATTCAAAATTTTATGACTTCAAGACACACAAAGTTTTTGAAAAAAAAAATGATTTTTTTGGAAGTTTTAGACCTTGTACGGAAACGAAAATAGCACCATTCGATTCGCCGTGAAAAACTACATCAGATAGACACCTTTTTAGGCCTAAACAACCAAGTTCAAAATTTGACCTCACTTGACCTGACCTTGACCTGATCTCGACCTGAAATTCATCCAGAGGTGGTCCATATCACTTATTGAGTGTGCCTATTGAACTCTATGAATAAAATGACCCATAAAACATGTGTCGCACATGCCCTTTTCTATATTTTGTTTTTGGTGACCTTACCTGACCTGACCTTGACCTTTGAATGATATCTATGCAACGAATATTGTCTTGGTAGCGCCTAAGAACACGTTTTGGGCAATCAGTCTCAGTCCATTCTTCGGCAACTACGGTGCAGGGCCGATAATGTAGAAACTTGCATTTTGTACCCTTGACCTGACCTTGACCTGACCTCTGAGTTACTTAAGCAAAAAATGGGCTCTTAAGATCCGCCTTGTTGAGAGCCTTCGATTGCCGTTTTCCCCGTCTTTCTACGACCATCGGTTCGGAAGTTAGACGGGGGGGGGGCAGAATCTGCCCCCCCCCCAGCAGGGCGCGTATGGCTGAATAGCCCAGCGGGGCGCGGGTTAAGTTTGGTTAGGTTAAGTTAGATCAGCTCAGCTTAGCTTATGATAGGACAGGTTAGGTTATAGTTTTCATGACAATGCTCGTTCCTCACTGGATTTCAGTACATCGACACAAAACACTGCGCAATATCTGATCCAACCGTCTTCTGGCTTATATGTCACTCTGACCTCATATGACCGATTACAATATTCCCTGCTTCTTTCTGCCGTCCTGACGCGTCCGTCCGTCTGTCACCCCGCGCGTCCGGCAGGCTCGAACCACATGCGCAAGACTGAGGTGTACCACTGTGGCCTGTGCGACATCTACATCAAGATCACGTCCAAGGTGAACGCCGTGCTCATCAAGCACTGCATGGGCAAGAAGCACTTTGAGAACTACCGCAAGAACCTGACGACGCTGGCCGAGCAGGAGGAGGAGGAGCGTAAGGCGGCAGAGGCCGAGGCCGAGCGCCAGAAGAAGGAGCAGCAGGAGAAGGAGGATCAGGTGGGTCCCCGGAACGGGTAACACACTAACCAACCAACACACCTACTCACCAACCAACCGACCAACACACTAACCGATAATCCAACCAAGTTGTTACCAACCTGAGCCCAATCTCATGAATTAGTGCTGTATTTTACTATTTGTGGCATATTTTAGAAACAACAAGTAATGATATCGGTCCTGGTTAACGCTATCCACAAGACCACAAGACGATTGCTTTGAACGTCAACATTCAAAGGCCTGAAATTGATAAAAGTCTCTTGTAGTTGATAGCCTTTTCATCTAGCTGCAGTTCATTCAGGACAAGACAACATTTCAGTTTTCACAAGAAAAGGACCCATTTATTTCGCTGTTATTTCGCTAATTTTACAAGTGTTTGCCTTTCATAATAGATTATAATTTTATGAGATGGCTCTTCCGTCCCGCCGAATGCTTTCTCTATTTCGCCCGGCCTGCACCCCCAGAAGGTTGCCGACCCCTGCCCGTAGATGTGCCGTTCCCGTCCCCTGGTGGTGGCCTGCCGTCCCTGGGGAGAGATAGCGTGTTTGTGTGCGTGTGTCGTGGCATGTCCAGGTCCATGGGCACTGGGTAGCTGCTTTGAATGTGTGCCTAACTGGGCTGGAGTGCGGGTGGCCGCGGTGCTGGTGCAGGCTTGGGAGCTGCATGTGCCGATGCGTGGTTACACCGTCAAGTTTATTTTGGCTGGTGATGGCAGTAGCAGACGGATTTCAGCTTTGTACAGAACGACCAATTTGTTTGGATCGGGCATGCCTTTTTAATATTTTTACGTGTGGCTAAGTGTGGACGATATTTGGCTTTGGGTGTGGTTTTGGTGAATCTGCTGCCACCGCTCATCAGCCGTGCCGTACACCGCGAGCTTTAGTTACAGCATTTCTGCGTCGCTTATGGTAAGGCCAGGGTGCATGCGGAATGGGTCGCTATTTTTCCTTTTTGGCTGGTGATCGTTTGCACCTGAGTTGAAGCCGCATGCGTTTTTTGGTATCATTGGTTTGGTGTTAAAATTCTCAGTTTTATTATGTTGGTTCACGTATTTAATGCTGCTAGCGGGCTGAGTTTTGCTATGTCATATTGTGTAACTTGGTGTTGTATACAGTAAAGCTTTTTTTTAATTGTCATGGCTTCCTCATCAATAAGAATCGGAGTTACCAAAAGGATTTCAGGCATTGATAAGTTATTTCCACCACACGTCAGTTATTTGTCCGTTGTGCTAAATCCTAAATTTGCCTCATATTTGGCGGTGTGGTTTCCGATGTTAATTATTTACTCATTCAGTTTTGAATTTTGGTTGTTAGGTCCTACAGAAGAAGACACCAAATGCCGTTAAAGGGACTATCCCACCTTCTAAAATGTTGTTAAAACCAGTTAAATTGTGCCCGACTTTATAGATTGGATGACCAGGAACACGGTTCTGGCATTTATTTTTCATTAAACATCTTAGGCTTCCCATATTCCAAACACAAACTTTCAAATATGTGACGTCACAGCCCAAAATTACCTCCTTCCCCAGGCCACATTACTGTCATAAAGCTGATTCTTTTTACTCTGTAGGCACCACAACAAAGTTCAGACCAAGTTTTAAGCGATTTTTCAACGAACAAACCCATTTAAATCAGAATGACTAAACGAGGTGACGTCACACTAACGGTCGCTCCATGTTGAAGATAGGGCCTTGTACAAGGCCCATTTTCAAATGAAGGGAACGAATTTCTTCAACACCAAGAGGTCACGGGGGTTGCAACCTAGATAGATAGTGGTTTCTGAACCTCGCCGCAAACTTGGCTATCTCAACTCAAACCCCATGTTAAAGGTGGGATAGTCCCTTAAATACTTTGCACACCAGTGCCGTGCCGTTCACTTCCCTCCCTCCCCGTGACGCCAGGAGGACGCTGAGCAGCAGGACACGCCGGAGAAGACCAACGGACAAGATGAGGGGAAGGACGCCGACGCTGCCGGGGAGGACGCGGCCGCGGCGGACGAGGGCGGCCGCGAGGAGCCGCCAGCGGGCCGCGGTGAGGACGCCTCCTGGGAGCAGATGGACGACAACTTCCTGCTGGGCGACGACCAGGAGGAGGAGACGGGCTCTGAGAAACGCACCGTCGGCGTCACCGAGTAGCGCGCCGACGGCAGTCGGCGCGGAGAGAAATGAGGAGAGGACGGGAGTGTGCGGGGGACGAGCAGGGAAGGTGTGAGGAGAAGTAATGAGGGACTGATGTGCGGAGGAAGTGTTGGAGGACAGGTTTCGCGGTGGAGTGGCGGCGCGGCTGACCACTGGTCGCCGCCGAGGAGAGGGGAGTCGGCTGACCGTCGCGGCGGACCGCGCAGATGCTCGACCGGACGAGCTGCGGTGTGCGCCGCGCACGGCGAACTGTATCGGCGTCGGTGTGAGCGTGGGGACCCTGTCGGGGACGAAGCTGTGCTCCTTGCAGGGACAGAATGGCCTCGTACCGGCACACCGCGTCGATTGTATATAGACGATCCGTGTCGGCGGTGGGCGCGTGAGCACGACCGCAGCGCCGCCATGCGCTGATGTGGTGGACGTGAGCACCGGACGGACGGGGGCGCGACTGCCGCAGCGCCCCGAGCTGCGGATAGCGCCGGGGCGCGGCACGCCTCCGACCAATGTAGCCCGGCGCAGCGACCCGATATCCGAGTCCCGGTAGACGCGTAGGTTTCATTTAGAGTACATGTTTCAGAAGACAGGGACGTTTTAGCGCTCGGACGTCCCGACGTAGCCGAAATTGTTCGATCATTCTTTCAGACGTAGTTCGGTGTCATCAATTTTATGTAAATAAACGGCAAATTGCTTATCTTGTGTGTGTTGATGGAGTGCGTTTTGGGATGGGGCGGAAGATGGACTACAGTGGGACACGCCGGTCCCTCTACCCAGCAGTTTGAGAACATATAAAATGCATAATTTAAAATGCACCTTGCAAGCATCAATTGGGAAACCTGTCACAGCCAGGAAGTTTGCAAATGTTCGTTGTCTAGAAGACATATCAGTAGGTATTTGTACCTACGCCGGGGTCACCATCACGCCATTTCTTGCATATTATTCATAACCAATCACACAATTGAGGCAATAATATCTCCGTATTGACGATGTGTTTATATAGTCACTCTGTTATTTTACGCCGGACAGCACAACACAATCATTATCATTGAGTCTAGGTGATCAAGGTGGAATGACGGCGCATTGCCATTTCAGGTTATTTGCATATTTTTTTCCCTTGCATTTGTTGTTCATTTTAATTGTAAGGTATACCGGGTGGCCCAGAAAAAACGTTCCGAACTTTGGAGGCCTATATATCAATTACGAGTACAAATAACGAGCCAAAATTTTCATCAAGTTTGCGTCATTTCATTGCGCATTGGTATGCCAAATTATAACACTATACCATCATTTTCAAGCTGGCAATCATGAGTTGAATTAAGCAAGACGTTTTTGCTTTTTTGCCGATGTCAAACGATAGTGATGATTGGGTTAGACGTCCCATGTCAGGGGCCCGGGAACGATTTTCAAGTTGGGGGGGGGGGGCGAGCCTAAAATGCCTGACATGATGCATATGAAGCAGTGGCTTAGTTAGGGGTCTAAGGGGACGCGTACCCCCCCCCCCCACCCACCACCCATCGGGTTGAAAGGGACCCTCGGGTCCGAGAGGACCTGCGGTGCCATTTGACCGCTGAGGGTTAACGATGGCCATATTTCGACTCAGAATGGCCTCATAGGTCTCGTTAGAGCACCTTATGGGCCCTAAATAACCACACTAAAATCTCAACAAGGGCCCCACGCCGGCTTCTGAGGGAATCTTGCAGATTTTAACCCGCGCCGTGCTGGGGGGGGCGTTTTTACGCCCCCCCCCTCAGGTTTTTCGCGAATATCTCAAAAACGGCGGCGCGCAGCGCCGCCGTTTTTGGTACACGTGTTCCTACATCATTTCCGCACATGTTGTGAAAATTTCAGACCTAGGCCGTTCAAGGTCAGGTCACCAGGTCACGTCAAGTGACCTTACCTCAGAAAAAGTTCAAAGGCTCGCTATAGCTACACCGACTGAACGATCACTTTGAAACTTTCAGCGATTGATATGAGTAACAGTATGTATAAAATGTATATCTCGGATTTTTGATATCTGTGACCTAAGGTCAGGTCAATTTTGCGACCTCTCCATTATAAGTCAATGGGAGAAAATTGAAATGCGCCTCTTTTGGACGAATATCGTTCAAAACGCTCTCAAACATCGGTTCATAGGTAAACATGACACACTGAATAGGAAAAATGCACCTGTGACCCCTCTGTGTGCCCCTGAGGTCACCTCAGGTCATGAACGGTCGCCAGCAGTTTTTTGGCTATAACTTTTGATAGAGACGTGCTAGAGCGGTGAAAACACGTCAGATGTGTTCAGCTCGACGATACGGATCGACTGATATGCAACATGACCCTTTTCGGTCAGGTCATGACCTTGACCTGAGGTCAAATTTTCAAAATGACCTTTCAAGGTCAACGAATAGTTCATTCGACGCGTCTCGACGAAAGGAACACGATGCTGGCAAAAGTAATGTCATGGCGCTTTTGAGTCAAAAGTTATTGACGAAAAAACGTTTTTCGTAAAAACGGCTATTTTTGGAGTTTTTTGCCCTCTGGAGGCTAAACTGTTGACCTGAGGTCAAATCTGAGAACATTACTCAGAAAGGTCTGTAAAAGGGCTATCGAATGCGCTTTTCCGCGGCGCTGTAGCTCTATCGGTTCCCGAGATAGCCGTTGGCAGTTTCCAAAATGTTGAAATAGTCAACATTTTACCTTTGGTGACCTCTGGTGACCTGACCTTTGACCTGACCCAAAAAATGACCGAAGTGTTTTCGTCCTTATTTTTGACGCTCTTTCGATTGCCGCTTACCGCGTGTCGCTACGTGGCCCAGGAGCCGAGTTAGACGGGGGGGGGGCGTGAAAACGCCCCCCCCCCCCCAGCACTCGGCGGAAAGTTCAGGCCACCAGCACGGCGCGGGTTAAGGGCCCCTCGGTGGTCTCCAAAGGCCCGTTACTGGCCTCTGGGAGTTCTTACCGGCCTATGAGGGGCCAGTTCTAGGGGCATTTCCCGCCTGTGATGGTCACACACTTATTTTTCCGAGGGTCCCATAACGGCAACTGTGGGGGCCCTCATCGGCGCCTGTGAGGGCCCACACCGGTGTCTCTGAGCGTTTCACGCCCCCAACTCTGAGTGCCTATACCAGTGCCTTTTAAAGCCCTATATCGGCGGCTCTGAGGACCCAACAGTCAACACCTGCGCATCTAAAGCCCACCCACTGGAAACTTTTGAGGGCCCCGCACCGGTGACTCTGAGCCCTGAGGGCCCCACCGGCGTCTGACAGTACCATGCCGGTCTCTAAGGACCCCACAAGACTTCTTCTGCCGGCCTAAGGGCTCCGTGCCGGTCACTGAGAGCCCCCTGTTGGTTTGTAGAGGGTTCGCGTCAGCAGCTCTAAAGACCCCACACCCGTCTGTAACGGCTCCACACCAGCGTCTATGAGATCCCAGAGCAACGCCTGTAAGGACCCTCACCGGCGCCTCTGAGAGAATCACACTAGCACCTCTTTGCGCCCGAACCGGCACCTGCATGGCGGCCCATACCAATGCCTCTAAAGGCCCCTTACCGGCGGCTCTGAGGGCCCTATACGCCGGTGATTCTGAGGGTGCTACCGATAACCAAATGCATCAGACAAGCCCTTAGTGTCACTGAGCTTTAATCCCATAGATACCGGCCTTCCGAGGGCGCCACGTCAGTGCACTCATTGCCCCACACCCCTCCCGCACACCCGGAGCGGGTAAACTGTGTTATACCTATATTATAGCAACGATTTTACCACCGTTGTACGTTATATATTTCTCAAAGTTTTCTCAAAATGGTCTAGTATAAAATCTGGCCTGCCAAACTCATGGCCAAGGCCAGGCCCAAACCAAAGCGGGATGACAATAGCAGATGTTGTGAAATCGATACTGTATCAGCAGAAACCATTCAGATGACTAGGAAAATGCCGTGTGATGATGTTTAGATGGAAAACAAGAAGGAAAGAAGTCCGGAAAAGGGGGAAAAGGGAAGAAAGATCCTTTCACGCTGCCTCAATGTTGAGGGGGCGCCGCCCCCTCGGCTCTCAAGTTGGGGGGGCAAGCGCCCCCGCTGCCCCCCCCCCCTGTTCCCGGGTCTATGTCCCATGTTATAAAAAAGGAATAAAAAATAGAGCACGTGAATGAAACCAACACATGTGTTCTTATTTTTAACATTTTTGTCTCACTTATGTGCCAACCAAATATTCAAATACTGAGCCAAAATGGTGCTCATGGATGTCAACCGTTTCAACACCAAATCATGTTTCGAGCAGGTCGAGTGGCACGGTGCATGGATTACTGCTGATTACCCTCCTTTCAGTAGATCAAACAGTAAATCGACCGGATAAGGAAAACAAACTAAAGCAGACTGGTTCCTGTGCCAGAAGACCACATAATAGCTTATGAAAAACAACATTGCCAGCAGATGACAAAAAAAAAAAAAAACTGGTTGAAAAGCTACCTTTTCCCAGGAATGTCAGCCAGGAAAGCATTTGAGCCACAAGATGGTTAGAAAACTGGAAACTTCTTCCGATGCCGCTGGCACAGAGCCATAGTGGTTGCCTGAGGGAATGTGTCATCCTGAGACCCGAACCATCAATGAGAATAGCTGCCAGTAGAAGTCATGGCTCTAGGCCGCGGTGCCGCGGGGTGAAAGTGACCCGTTCACTCACATTTTTTAGTAAACATCGGAGCAAAAAAGTAATTTTTACATGGCATGCTTGAAACACGAACCGTTTAAAAAGTTATTTACCGAGCACCATGAAAATCCCACCATTTACTGAAAATGTGTGCTGCATTAACTATTCGAAGTTTCAATGTTGTATCTTTATCACTTTCTGAGAAATATTGATTTAAAGATGGGAACATTTTTTTCTGGGCCACCCGGTATTTGCGTGCTATCTCAAGCTGCACTGAGAGCCTGGGCGGCTCACGGTCTGTCCCTCGGTGACGTCAGCCTCCCAGTGCGAGCTGACGTTCCGTCGAGGCGGGGCGCCGTCGGCAGCGGTGACATCCTGACGGAGTTAGCACTTCTCTGCTGCTCTGCAACGCTGACAAGATCTGTCCGACCGGACCCACCTAGGGCTCCGCAGTGTACCCATTGCCATCTGGCGCAGTTATGAAGCGAGATCGGCTGCGGAAAACCGATCTTAGTTCGAGGGGAGGCTGGAGGGTGTAGAATGCAGCTAAAAACACTTCACACAATAGTTACAGTGCTGAAAGCCAAAAATTATTCTATTTTAAACCAAGGGGAAGCATCGTTTGATAAGGATAGCTGTATCCCAAATTACTTATTGTTGAACAGATAGCTGTCACCCGTACAGCTCGGGCAGCACATGAAAAAGGGCCAGCTCATCAACTATAGCCTGCAACACAGGAGTGAGCGCAGCCAGCAGCTGCGGAGAACCACAAGCCCGGCTGGCGGATAGAGTACTAGAGAGAGCGGCAGTCCTTCCGGTTTTCACAGAATCGTCTGCGTCGGACTGCACGGTGGTCAGAACCTCAGAGGCTATGTGGTCCTCTTGTTGTCCCTGGAGCCGTGTCATGTCTGTCTTCGGAGAGTCAAACACCGGGATAACGAGCTTTCTCACATGTTTTTTTGGCCATAGGCCGTGTAGCGGTAGCTGCGTCAACTCATTTTTATAAGGTACTTTTTTCGTGTATGCCTAGCGACGACAAACTGGTATGGTAACTGATGATGAAGAAATG